GTGCATGTAAAAGGCTGAGGAAAGAGACACTGTTTTAAAAAGCAGGCACTGAGCCATTTAATCAGCTCTCACTGAAGGTGAATTACCCATTGTGGAGATGGGCTTAATGAGTTTTAAAGGTTATATCAGGCATTTGCAGTTTAAAAGAAATCAAAATGTCTTGACTCACTGAGTTCTAATAATTCATGTGGCTGTGGAAACAGAACTCATCAGTTACCCTTAATTTTAGTAGTTCCATCAACTTATACTGTACAAGAGTCTCTATTCCTTGTCACCTGTTCTTTCACTCATATATCCAAATAATCAAAAACCCAGAATTGTCTGTGACCTGTTTATCAAAAGTACTGGCAGTGTTATGTTCTATCTATGCTTCATGCAGATACAGACCTTAAAGGGTGCTTCTCATGTAGGGCAGCTGTGAAATCTTCATTGCTTGTGCCCTACTTGGCCTTGATGCCAGGCCAGGATGGAAAAACTTTTGATTGTTAGTGACCTGTGAGGGAGTGGGGTCTGAAATTCAGATGGTGATGGAAGAATATTTTCATTGGTAGGAGATGGCTGTGAAGAATGAAGTTGGCCTAATAGATAATCCTCTAAAGATTTCCTGGCTGGAGGGCCAGCCCCGGAACAATCCCAGCACTGTCCTTTCTGACAGCACTAGTCAGCCTAGGACTTCACAGGTAAGGAGACACAGGCTGCTGTTATTTGAATCTGTTTCTATAGCAACCTAAATTTAACAGTGTGCTTTGCATTTATGGTAAGATACGTTGATTCTCAGCAGAGCTGAAAAGAAGCTCTTAATGAAAGGCCTGCCTTTCTGATGAGCCTTTTTGTGCTGAAGCAGTGGCTTTTTTAAAGGACCTTTTGCCTGAGTAGCAGCACAGTGAGAACACAAGCTATTTGGATGACTGGATCTTTGCATAATCTCATGCTCTGTCTTCCAAGTGAAAAACAAGGATGTTCCTTGCTCAGCCCAAAACCTCTAGTGCCGTTCTTCTGGATTTTTTTCTAATGTACTTTGACTGTGGGAATCCTCTGGCTGATAGCTGGTTGAAATGGGTCTCCTAGAAAGCCTCTTTAGAGAGGCTTGGTTACGCACTGCATTCACAAGAGGATGAAATTTCAGTGCTGAAAGGAAACCTATATTCTTAGGGTCTGCAGGAGGGAAGAGAAAGCAATATCAAATTAAATATCCTTGTAGAGACTTTATTGTCTCTTCTGGGTCCTCTTTACCAGTGTGGTTACTTTGAGTGCAGGGTGTTTGTTAACTCTTAGCTGCTTCCTGTTTATTTCACCAGATAATCCCTCTGAAGCTGTTGCTCTTGAATAGCAAGTGTATTCCAATCCCAAAACACATGGAAGGCAATAACATCTAGTGGTTAAAATATAGAAACCAATCTGAGGACGTGCTGCAGCACATTGTTGGCTCTCCATTACCCCTTGCTCCTGTTGGCCCTCTGGAGTGGGAGATGTATCCACTTTTGAAGGATGGTACATTAAACTTTGCTCTATAGCACAGAATTTATCTTGTGCTCTGCATGTCTTCTGATCTAGTTAGTAATTCCTTGGCTGTGAAGGTGTGAAGGGACCTGAGATCCTTTGCTGTTTTTTTCAGTTCCAGTCCAAACTTCATGTGACACTTATTCCCCTCTACTCCTTCCCTGTGGTATAAAGATCAAAAAGATCTAATTGCTGAGAGGACTCCTTCCTCATGCTCTACAGGTGCCCTTAGTCTGTGTGTCTCTCAATCAGCCTTGTGTGTGATCACTACCTAAATATTTTAGCAGTTCGTGAGATTGTTCTGTACATTCACCCTCCTGACTTTTTGTTAAGTACTTTACAGTAGATACATTTATACATCAGAATGCCTTGTTGTTAACCTAGTTTTGTTTAGGGTTGTATGTTTTGACTTGGGATGCATGTTCTTTGAACAGCCTGGCCTGAGCAGCATAGTTTCCCAGAAATCTGGGGCAAAGGCAGTTACAGCATCATAGCCCAGGAGCCAGACAGATCTGCACAATGTAGAACCAGTGAGAGTCCTGCAGACACAGCAGATTCACAGAGGTGGCCAGAGTGTTAGAAGGCAAATTGGGGAAAAAAAGCAGAATCCAATCCAGTTTGAGTATCTCTTGCTAGTAGAGAATGACAACTGGCTCTGAAGAGCTCATTCATACCTAAGGGGGTTGCTGGTGCAATTGGAGCTTGGTAGTGGATTCTTGCCTCTGTGGGTTCAAAAGCCCTGGCTTTTGACTGAGTTTATCTTGGCTTGTTTCCATGACCAAAGCTTGTTGGTGTGGAACTGCAGTGTCTGCCTGCTGTGAAGGATTAGCTTGGTGGAGCAGCAAGAGAGAGCAGGTTAAAGCAGCAAATGGTGTTTGTGTTGTGTGGAGGTGGTGACTCCCTTCTGTCCCAACACGGCCTCATCAATCCCATATTAGCTCTCAAAATGGTGAGGAGTTATGGCCAGTGACTTACATCCTTTCCCAAAAATTGTACTGCTGATGCTTTTCTGTCCTTTCAACTGCTTTTGTGTAAGCAGCTGCAATGTCTTTGATTACATTGCAGTCTTGCTGTCCAGGCTAAGATCTCCAAGCTGCTCTGGTTCCTGCTTTTCTTAGTTCCTACTCCAGACCCTCCCCAAATCCTCCTGCTGCTTCCACTAGGATGCTTCCAAAATCTGCTAGTTCCTACTCTAGACCCTCCCCAAATCCTCCTGCTTCCACTAGGATGCTTCCAAAATCTGTAATGTGGTAATAGCTTCTCTTGGCTGTACTGCTTCCAGTTGACTTGTTCTTTGTCATCAGCTCTTCAACTCTAGACTATGCAAAATGAACTCTTTCAGATATCTTTTACCACTGCCTCAACCTACTCCCTGCCTCATCCTTTCATACCCAGTCTGGCTTCCCAGCCATCAGGGTCCACATTCTTGCTTTCAAGCTGCACTAGTCTCATTCTGATTTAAGCTGCCCTCACTTCCTATTTGCTGCTCCCTCTGGGTTGCTCCTATTTTTATCTGAATCCATCCCTGTTTGCTCCCACTCTGTGCAAATGCAGCTCCTTCCCTGCTCTGCTTCAGAAAACAGCCAAAGACCTGCAGCGTTCTCATGGCAACGCACTCACTACTCATCCGCTTCAGAGCTGTCTGCTCCCTGCCTGGGGTAGTCAGCCAGGAGCTGTGCACCAAAGTCTTCAAATAAAGGACAGCTGCACACTAACTAGACCAGGGGGGCTTTGGAAGCAGTTCCCAGGTGAAAGCAAGGCTGATTGTTGAAAAGCGGTGCTGTGAGGAGGCAGTAAGTTGCAAGATACTTGCCCTCCACAGTCTTGGTTGGCTTGTTTTCTTCTACAGCAATGGGTGCACGTTGTCCAGCAGTTCCTGGAGAGCTGCTGGAGCCAAACAGGTGAGTTATGCTTGAATTACAAAAGCTGTGGATTAGCCAGTGTTACTGTAGGCTATCTGAGAGCAATGACTATTTGATTGCTGCAGCTCTGAATGGTTCAAAGCACACAACAGCTGTACAATGCTGTGAAGAGCATATTTTGCCACTAGAACAGCATGAAGCACTCGCTTCTGGGAAAGCCTTCCTTGCACCTTTAGTAGCGGGATCTCCCCGCCAGTGCTCCTCATTCATTTTGGGACATTCATTCAGCCATGTTAAAGTGCTGAGAAAAGCCGCCTGTTTGGCACTCTTGCATCTTTTCTAAGCTCCTTTGAGGTTTCACAGAGTTTGTTTTATATTATCTGACTTTACAGCCTGATGTGAATCTAGTAGGTTAAGAGCTGTCTGTGCCTTCTCTGAAATGTCTCTGTGCACTTTGCTGTAGCCAGCTTCCAAAGCTTATGGTTATCTGGGTGCATGGAGGTTTTATTTTTTTATGATTTTTTTAAAAAAGTCCTAGTATCTAATCTAGCTATGAAAAAGGTAAGAATTGGTGACCCAGTAGTTTCTGCAGTGTCCTTTTAATAGTTTGCCCTGACGCTGCCTAATGTTCTCAGCCTGGCAGAGCCCTTCCCGCTGTCCAGCTCACAGGTTAAAGAACTCTTCATTTCAATGCTGGGTCTTGACCTAGACTGCGTGCACTCTCCTCAGGGGAAGATAAAGTACCAGCAGCTCTAGCCTTCCAGCCCAGAAAAGCAGAGCCATGCTGCTTCCCCACCCTCATAAAAACCTGAAGTGCCAGAGGATAGATCTTGGTCACTACAGATAAGGGACCTGTGCTCTTGGTGCCTGGGCTCTTTCTGGCTTGCTACCAATGAAATGAGGCAACAAGACGCTTCCAGTCACAGATACATTTATTCTTCCACATCTGTACAGCTGATAGATCAGTGCATGCTTCAAGCAGCAGTATCTAGAGAAACTTCTCCTGCTAATAGGATAAATAAACTGCTGTTGCTGTATCACAAGCCTACATGGATGCTTACCTGTTTCCAGGCTGGGAGTGCCAACTGCACTTGAGTTAGGGGAAAAGAAACCCACAAGAAAAAAAGGAGGAATGGCTTTGATTTTTCACATCCAAACATGGTGGGAGAAGAAACACCAATTTTTGTCTCTTGACCTTTGCCATAGCTATGGCTTTGAGATGCAATGCTACTGTCTCCTTGCAAGCTGCCTGCTTATCCACAAATGATGTATGCCATATCCCTTTCTGTCCGTGTTCCGCAGTGTCACAGCCACATCCCCCAAAATAACAAGTCTTTTGCCAAACAATGCCATTCTTCCATGAGAAGGAGATGCACAGTAAAGAGTGGGAAATTCCCGGTGTGGAGAATGGAAACTTGCCCACGAGGTTCCAGCAGACAGTGCTCTCATCTGAGCACAGAGCCTGTGAGCTCTGCTCCAAAGGACTCCTTGGCAAGGACAAGGACAGTCTGTAGTGGGTAAGGCAAGAACAACAAAACAGGCCACACACAACAGGAATGCTGCAGTATGCTTCCTCCCGCTAGGACTAGAGAAACTGGCAGCAGCAAGTAAAGGTGATATGTTAAATGATAAATACCTTCAAATGGCATAATCTCTTGGATTCTGTTTCCTGAGGGTCTGCAGAACATCCTCGAGAAGCGATAGCCCCAAATCCACTTTGAAGGACAGGAAGGGATCAGACAGGTCAGAAAGAGTGGTGCCATTCTGGGAACCTGTCTCTGAGGTCCCACAGTCTGTAGCCTGGTCCTTGTGGAATTGAGTTTGAGTGGCCTTGTGGTATTGATGAGTAGCACCAGAAAAGGAGAGGTCAGAGTGAGAATCTGTGTGATCAATGATGTTAGGGCAGCTAGAACTGTCCAGGTACAGCCGGGGAGGCTTGGGAGGTGCTTGTGCCTTGGCTAGGTTTTGCTCACTCTGACATGACAGGTAATCAGACTTGTCCTTCAGATCCCTCAAGCATTCCCTCTTCTGGCACTGTCCATCGCTGTCCAGAGTGTGGCTGTTCTGATTCAAGATGATGACTTGGTTGCCCAGCTTTTTGTGTCTCCTGAGTGAGAAACGTCTGAAGAACGTTGTGGACTTAATGGACCCTCTCCGCCAAGTATCCATGCTGATGAAAGGCAACGAGAAGGAAACTGCTGATTCTTCACAGACAGGTGTTGGACTTAAGTCGCAGGATCAGCAGCAAGCCACGCAACAGGAACAAACTCTTCCTTCCCTGTTCCTGTAGCTGGAAGGAGAACAGAGAGGCTGGTATTGCAGGAAACGCAAACTTCACACTACGTCCTGGTGTTAAGGAGCAATTGGCCTGTCTTAGATATTAAGGAGTCTCCTCCTTCAGTGGAGAAGGAATGGCAATGTCTGAGCTTATTAAATCTGTGCTGCAGAAACAAGCTGATGAAGAATAGCAAAGGCACACAGTCACCATGAGAACAGATTTAATCTAGCATCTAGAACAGAAGGGCACTTTGGTACCATGGTAACCAGCCACCTTCATGGTGAAGGGCACAGTATAAAAATCTCAGTGGGTGGTTAGGAAGGAAGACGGTGACTCAGTCACACTGAAGGAAACCAAAGAAATACAGTCAAGTGGAAATTTAAAAAGCAACAAAACGCAGAGGTAGAAGACAAATGTTAGGAAAATTGAATGCAAAATAGACTTACGCTGTGTCAGAGCAGCACCTGAGTCCAACAGGCGGAGAGGAGAAACTGCTGAAGCGCTCGGAGAACTGTGACTGCCACGTTCACCAGTATGCTGGGATGTTGGAAGAAGCAAGTCAGTCCACGGATGATTCAGCCAGGTTGGACCTGGAATGCTAAAAATCCACAAGACCTCCTTCTCTTCATGTGCCTCCTGTCACTGCTTCCCAGGCTGCAGTTCCTTGTGCGTATGTATTTGTTTTGAGCCAAGCCCTTGCTGAGTCAGCCACGTCAGAAACTGGGTTTTACACTATTGGTAATTGCCAGGATTGCAGGAAGTAGGTGTGTAGAGTGGCAAAGCATCAGCCCACACTCTGCCTGAGGAGAAAGCAAGCTCACTTAGAGGCACCCGGATTGCTTGAGAACTGTCAACATGAATATTGACTTGTAGCCCATCTTGAATCAGGCTGTTTCTTCTCTTGGTGCTCTCCCTTTTGCCACTTCTGATGGCTTGTTGTATCAGCAGGGCTCCCAAATGAGGCTGGAAATCTCTTGTCTGTTTTAAATTTAAATCCAGAGTGTGAGGTAGTGATTCAGGTTTGTATGGGTGATTCATCTGCATGAGTCTTATCTAGGCTATTTCACGTAGCCAAGCAAGTGACAGTAAGTATCTGTGGTTAGTGAACAGGAACTTTGAAGAAGCCTAGTTCTGCCACTGAAGGCTGATACAATCTGGTGCTTTCTCAGACACTGAAAATCTGTGCTGTGCAGTATTGAAAGGTTACTTCATTCATGCAGCTCCTAAGACACCAATTACGGCATATTAGTCTCAATTTCCTGGTCTAAGTTTCTCATCTATTGTGGGCTTCTATTTTGTCCTCGCAGCTAGACACTGCAGCTGGTGGAACCACTTTGCTGGCACATGATAACAAATTTGCACTTGCCCCATTTTCGTGCAGAATCTTATTTAGCTATTCTATTGCCTTTTCATCCCTTCTATTTTCTATTTAAGATGTCCTTAAATCACCACTAAATCTAGTTCCTAGAAAAATGAACATGAGTGTTTTTTCATTCACCTTCTGTCAAGATGCTTTTATTTCTACCTGAACTGTCAAGCAAATGAGATGGGTGTTTCCAAGCATTGCAGTGCTTTGAATACATCTGAAATAGTAAGGCCACCTACTAATGTTAAATGGCTTTTGAAAGCAGAGTGCCAAAACCACCACTTTGCTCTGTGATAGCAGCTGTCATCTGCTGCCTACATTTATTAGAGTCTGCAACCACCACTTAGATGATGTGACAGTTGCTACCACACACAGCAGAAAGGCTCCAAGAGGTTTTGAGAACTAAAAAGCTCTTGTCAGGTTTGGGAACGTACCTGGTGATTTTCTTTCTGCAGCCGCTTCCATGACTAAACCACAGAAAGGTTTGATTTTTTTTTATGGCATTAGCCTTTATAACAGATGAAGTGTATGCTGGACTTTGTGCACCAGTGTTGTACGTGCAGAGCAAGCTTGTCATCCAAAATAACCAGACACAACGAGGCAAGCCATGCTTCCCTGTCCAGCCTCGTGAGCAGCAAAAGGGTAATTCAGGCTCCCTGTCTGTCCCACTCTGTCTCGTCGGTAACACTGTTATGAAGCAGGCTATTTTCTGTAGGCTAGGCAGCTTTTGCACCTTACCTGATTTCTCTGAGGTCATGCTATGAACCACCTTCCTGACTCGAATGTGCATGTTGTGAGCGTGGTTTCTGGAGAGGGGGGCTGGGGTATATACTGCCCTTGACAAGTTGCATTTGTTTTCTGCTCCTAGGCATCAGTGGTATCAGAACGGGATTACGAGAGCCTGGTGATGATGCGGATGCGCCAAGCAGCAGAGAGGCAGCAGCTTATTGAACAGCTCAAGCGGGAAGACGAGGAAGAGTCTCACACCTAACATGAGTATGGATTCTCCCCACCCCATCATTCTTCATTTCCAAAGCTGTTTCTTAAATTAAGTCAATAAACCTCCTTTTTTTTAAAACTGTTGTAGGAATGCAAACTCTCAGTGACTGCAGCCCTTATCCCTTTCCAGAGCAGGGGAAAAAATGGCTGCATAAGCTTCAGAGTAAGTGTATTAACCTGTCAGTCTGTGTACTCAGAGCAGCTGCCCAGTCACAGAGGACAGGGTGTGAGGTGCTATCAGAACACCAAACCTTGGAGCATTTTTTAATTCCTGAAAGCTTGTTCAGGAGCTGTGGAGCCAGAAGGCTTTTGGCAACAACTGTTTAAAACAACCCACAGAAAGACATTGGTCTCTTTAGAGAAATGTTTTATTGGTGTTACCCCTACAGCAGGATTGATACACAGTCCCAAACAATCCAGCATTGCAGCTGCTGCTGTTAAGATTACAGAGCCTGTACCTGAAATGTTCACAAGCCCTTTCTGTGCTGCTCTAAGGCTATTTCAGGAATAATGTGTTCACTTGAATGGCACTCTTGGGGCTGATGCTGCTAACCACAATCCCAGTTGGGAGAGAAACTGGCCTTGCTGCGGGGTGAAGGGATTCTCAGAGCACTGTGTAGGTTTAGTAGTTCCCCCTTACATTTCAGGGATGAGATAGTATGCCATCCATGCTTGGCCTCCCCTCCATGGCCTGGGAGAAGGCATGCCCTGAACTCTCACAGTTCAGCATGTACCTCTCTGGGGCAGCCCTGAGGAGCAGGCAGACATGTCTGTTATTTGAGCTTCCTCCAATGCATGCTAAATAGATGATTAAAATGTAAAAAGATATTTGCCAGACTGCCATTCAGATGAATGCAGGGATAGAGCCATCTGTTCTGTGTGTGATTTCATCTGCACTGGGCGTACCTTCCTCCCCCTGGTCTTGTGAAATGGCAGGGGTGGCAAGTTTCCATTGGGTCAAGTTTTGCCTCTACACTCCTCTCCCCATGCCTGGAGTCTGGGACAGAAAGGAATTAAGGGAAAAAGTTTGCTGTCAGTCCTGTGTGAGATGATCCCTAGCAGGATCTTGTCCAGGTGGAATGCAGAAGTCTTCCACGCTATTCCTTGTGGAGGCACCACACCAATGTCTGGCCTACGCCTGTCATGCTCACCACCCGGTAACCACAGCTCTCCAGCTTGTTCAGGACTATCCGTGGTGCATCGTTCACGTAGTACTCCCAGCTGCAAGCAGGAAAGAGGAGAAATAAAATGAGATGGAGAAGGAAGGGACAGGAATTTCCTTGTGGAAGTGACTGCCTCACTAGTAAACTGATACAAGACACTGCAATGACCACATCTGGCATGCTGTCTGTGTGATGCAATGTCTTGGCTAACCAGATGGGGAAGGCCAAAACCCACAGCTACCAAACCAAGGAGGAAGCCTGTCCAAAATGGAAGGGTCATGTTAAATTGAAATGTGGTTTGGGGACCAGTTATCCAAAGCCATGTGCTGCTCAGTTAACTGGGCTGAAACTGCAGCAGAGAGGGTTCACAAGTATTCACAGCTGGGAATTCATGGAAAAAGAGGATAATCTCCACAAAGCAGGGAAGAATGATTCAGGTGTTTCTAAGGAATGAAAGACCAATGTTTTGCCTATGTCAGAGCGTGTCTGTAAATTGGGTGGTTTTGAGAGCCTGTGCTTGAAATTTGAGGATTGGAAAAAAAATGCTGCCTTTAGCCAAGTATTAAGCCTTTGAAAAACCAGAAGTCATCAGTCTTCAACAGAGCTGCCAAACAAGGTGGAGCACAGGCTCCTCTCTACCGGGGCAGTTCAGAGCAGTTGCATGCTGTGGATGTCTGGCAGCTGACGCTTGGGATCTTTGTCCAGCTTTTATTCCTCTATGGTTTCTGCTGGCTCTGTGCATTTGGAGCAGAAGCTGTCCTTCCCTCCGCCTGGTCCCTGAGGCTGCTTCTCCGCGGAAGGCTTGAGGGCTGTGAGACTGCTCCCCCCGTAAAGAAAATAGACGGTGATTGCAGAGTGGCACAATACAGACACAAAATGGGCTGAATTAGGTGGGGAAGTAGCAGAGCTGAAATGGCAAGTATAACCTTCAGTGCTGGATTTGGCAGCCTTTCTGTTCCTTTAACACAGTCTTTTTGGATGCAGTATTTATTCGAGCAGATGGGATAAGCTTCATAATAGTTTAGCTCTTAGATGACTCACTGTGCCAGATAAGCTGATAATGATGGGCTACAGGATCATTGGTGATCTTGTTTGGGCACCTTAACAAAGACTCTCCTGATTTTCATACTAATAACAATAAAAAAGACCCAAAAGCATTTCCGGAGTTGCTCTTGCTAAGATTGCAAAACATTAATGGAGTGGTGAGTGCTTTTAAAGCATGAAAGAACACCAAGATGTGAAAGCTTTTTTTCAGTTTCTCAAGACAGACTATACTTTGCTATAATTATAGATGTGGTGTAAAGATAATATGTATTATTATAAGTGTCTTTGAACTTAATGCTTTCTCCAAGAGGTTTGCCACATACCCTTCAGATTCACATGTTGGAGTTGGTAAATATTCCCATTATGCAAAGGAAGGAGCTGAGGCAGGGATTGTTTGTTATTTGTAGGAACCTAAAAAACTGAGTGGCTGAGCTAAAAGCAGGAAGAAAGCTGAGTTGCCCAGGGCTTTAAACACAGCTCTGTGTTGAGTGAAACAAAAGATTGCACACAGCGCGTATCAAATATGCCACTGTCTCCGTGTGCAACCGGTCTGAATCAGGATGGAGTGGCTGGGAACATTTGCAAAGCCTTTCCTCCCAGCTAAATGCCAGCAGGGAACAGAGAAGTCACCCGAGATCGGAGAGGACTTCTGCACTTGCACATCCTTAAGTACCTGACCCCAGCTGCCCTGCCTCCCAGATGTGCCAAAACCAGAGAGCCCAGATGAGTGTGCATGGGGACGGGATTGAGCTGGGGCAGGAGCGTGCTCCACACGCAGCTGTTTTTAGTGGTGGAGCAGACAACCTCCTAGTGATATCTGCCCAGCTGTCCTTTTAGCGTCCTCGAGGATGGGGTTTGGCTGTGCCCTGGGGAACAGCTAAATTAAAGTATTAGCAGGTGCCTCAGACCTCAACTCCCAAAATTTGACAGAGAGGCATCCGTTTTCATTTAAGACCAAACAGTGCTGATGGCCTTTATAATTACAGGAGGTGCCAGGGACGGTGCCCAGCAGTCATCCACACGTGCACGTCCACCTGGGTGGACCCAGAAGAATCCCCTTTTCTGCAGCAGCCAAGGGCAGGCTTTTGATCCTTGGCCCCGCACCGGCTACGAGAAACACGCAGGCTGGGGCAGAGCCCGGCTCCCCGCTTGCTGAAGCCCAGATGCCCCCCGGGTTCTGCCTCTGCACATCAGATAGGGGAGCAGCAGTGCGTGCCGGCAGCTGATTGAACTTAATGACGTGCCATTTGCAGTAGCTAGTGCAGAGCTGCACAACAGGATCAGTGTTCTCCCTTATTAGAGGCAATTAAGTACTTCATCTGTATATTACAGTGCCCCAGCAGGTCCATGCTGCTTAGACCTTTTCTTTCAGGCTCCCTCCGAGGTCATGTTTAAAGTTTTGGGGCCCACGGTGCTATGGGAAGGGCAAGATTTGCAGCGTCCTATAGCCGGGCTTACTGCTAGCGAAGCCTTGCAGTCAGGTGGATGGAAAACCCTGCTCGGCCGCGGTGCAAATACAGGAGCTCTCATCCCTGGTTGGGATTTCTGGCAGAGAGGCGGCCGGGGCTCACACGCTGGCATGCCGCCGTGCCTCTCGGGGTGTCAGCAGCCACATTCCAGCCAGGTTATTTTCTCCACCCCCTGTTGCTCAAGCGCAAACAGGGAAGACGTGCCGCAGGGACACAGCGGAGTTACCCTGGGTATAACACAAGCCATACTGAGGAGCAGGTGGGGCAAGAGGTGTGGCTCCAGGCCACAGGGAGGGAAGAAAGGTGGTGAATCCACCAGGGAGATCCCATAGACGGCTCAGATCCCTTCTCCCAAACAAGCAAAATGTGGCACTCCGGTTCCTTGTAACGCTGCATCTCCTCCCTGGCTGCTGGGGCAGACACCACGGAGGCATTTTATCTTTCTTTGCCTTTCTTTTCCACCCAAATCCTAGGGATCCTTGCCCCTGTCTCTCAGGAGCCAGCAGCACTTCTTCCTTCTTGAAGCCTCTTCTTTTTCTCCCCCTCGGGTCTCCCTGCCCTCATTGCATAACTCCCTGCCTGCTCCCGGGCTCGGCTTGGCAGGCAGCAGCATGATGCTGACACTGCTGCCAATCTCCCAGCCACCCACAGGGTTGGGAATAGCAGCGCGGAGACGGCTCAGCCCAGCAAACCCACCCAGGGCTGTTTGGCAGGGAGATGAGTGACAGGAGGGGTCCGAGATCAGCCTTCCTGCAGATGCGGGGAGCTGGCAGTGGCCTGAGTTTGCATTTGGAAGGGTTTCTCTTTAATGGGGGTCCTTCGGTATTTTTTTCTAATCTCCTCTTTCTTTAAAATCTCCCACCCCGTTCAGGTTTTTAACGCTGCAGGAGTTGAGGACCCGGACCTCGATGTTTGCCAGGCTGGTACCAAGTAGGTGGGTTTTCCCAGCTCCGCCGATGGAAGTTTGAGAACATACTGGGACCGAGAGGCCCCTTCTGTTTAACGCCTGGTTCTCCTCCTACTCCTCCTCTGCGCCACGGCGTGAGTGGGCAAACTTCAGCAGAAATCTAACTGCTCCTCTCTGTTGTTTTAATTTGCATTTGGGGCTTTGTTTTGCTTTGTGGGTTTTTTTTTTCCCTGGAAAAAAACGAGAAGTGAGATACCAAGTGGGGAAAAAAAGAAAAAAAAAGTGGGCCAAGATGTAAAGAACATGCTGGTGACATCTCCAAGTTGCACTTTGGTGAAGGCTGGTGTCAAACTCGGTGCGGGCAGAGAGAGAGACGGGGACATGGAGAAGCGTCAAATATATACGGCTTGGGAACATGCAGGCTAATGGGTTGGAGCTGGGGGGACGCACGATGGGAAGCAGCTCCAAAAGGAGCCGTCGAGAGGGGCTGGGTCGGATGCTCAGTAACGGGCAGGAACCTCAAGCTGCACTAGAGAGCGTGACGGGACAGACTGCGGATGAGCGTGTCGGGTGGTTTGGCCCCAAAAAAGGCCACAGCCAGAGCACGGCTGCGAGAGGAGGGATGGGCACCGTTTCCTTCTGAGCATCTCAGGGCTGGAAATGATAATAAGACAGAGGAGGTTTGTCTTTAAGGATTACGGGTGGGGTAAAGGCAGATAAAGTTACGCAGAAAGATTCAAATGCTCACTGTGCCTGTTTTATTTCAGCCAGGGCACACATCAGGTAACAGCCAGAAGCATCCCAAGTGTATAAGGGGTAAAGAGAGGGGAGGATGTGGGTCAGGTGCTAAAATGGGGTCAGAGCAAGAAAAAAAGAAAGAACTAAATGAAATATCAGGTAGCATTTCCTTGGGTGAGCATTAACAGGCAGGGGCAAGGACGCGTGCATGCCCTTTCAGCATCAAACTAGTCCCGGGATTAAATGTGCAGCTGGAAGGTGCCATGGTGAATACAAGGAGTGAAAATGTTCCCAGTTTTCTTGGGAAAATAAGGAGAGGGGAGAGCCTGAAATGTCGCAGAGGAGGACTTACAAGTGGTTCCCCAGCATGTTCCTCTTCGTGGCCCCCAGGAAGCTCATCAGGCTGGGATCCGAATGCTCGTCTCCCACCATGGTGGGGCCGACTTCCTGCAGGGAAAGGCAGCAGAGTGGGTGAGCGATGTGCGGCAGCACGGCCAGCCCCCTCCCCGCTCCCCGGGACAGCTCCAGTAAGGGCTTTACTGGGAAGGGAATTATTGTGAGCCACCTGCCCGTCTCAGGAGAGGACCTTGGTGGCTTTGCTCCTGGAGGGCCACCTGCTGGCTGAGCTCACGGTGGCTCTGGTCCTCTGGGATCCACCACTGGGAAGTCTGTAGGACAGCAACGAGGTGCTACTCACAGCCTCATCGTGCAAAACCAGCAAATCTGTGTGTTTTACCATGAAATGAGCACTTTTGGGCCAGTTAGGGACCGTTTGCCTGTCCTGGTAGAAGACAGCTTTGGGAATGGCTCCACTAACTGGGAAGGGTGAGAAGATCGGGGTGAGAAGGTGCCATGGAGTGACTGGGGCAGATGAGCACCCATGGGATGACGAGGGACAGTCACGCTCCCTTGGAAGCGACAGGAGACCGGAGGAGCTGGGGGGAGGCAGTCAGAGACATGAGTCATCTCACCACCAGAGCCATCAGGTGGACTTCCCACACGTCATATGGGGGGGGACGGGGACATTTCTGCACAGTGCTCCAAAAGTGTTATTTTTATGAGATATTCCTGGGCTGGAGGTTTTCCAGAACTAAGTACCAGGGCACAGCAGATAACGACAGCGCCAATGTGACCTCCACAATGATCACCCGCTCCCAACCCACCTCCGGCACAGCCGGGGAGCAGCCAGGGAGGCTGGAAGAGCCAGAAAACACAGCCTTGAACACTGTCCATAGCTATGAGGGCTGGTGAGTGGGAGAGACATCGCATGCACCTCCATTGTGGGACCCACAACCCACCCCTCCTTGCTCAGCGCAGACGGGGGTGCTAAGACGCTCCGTGCTCCAAAACCTACCCCTGCACCCTCCGGGCTATCCCCGAAAATAGTGAGTTTTAATTGATTTTAATAGGTGGAGCAATTGTTTCCTTTTAAATCTCCTCCACACTACTCATTAAAAGTTTGCAAGTGAAAACTGTTCTTCCGAGGGATGTCCCCCATCCACTGGCAAACCTATATCACGTTTATTATCAACACTTTATAATATGCAAAGGGCCGCTCAACCCTAAATAACCTCAGAAATATTCTAAGTATCACCCAGACCATTTTTGACCCCTCTCTTCTCTATCACCCCTTGGAGAAAGCAAACCCCAGGGACAGGACAAGGGTCCCCGAGCCTCGAACAGAGGTTGCACGTGGAGGTTCGCAGGCTGCGTGCTCCGCTGTTGTGGTGAGGAGCCCTTGGTCCCGGGAGCAAACGCAGCAGGATGGGAAACTGCGCACCTTGACCCACGGTGAGTTTAGCAACGAAGTGGCCGGACAGTCTGACAGCAGAGAAAGCAGAGAATTTCTACTTGGCTGGGAGAGCTGAGATAGCTGGTTTGGGGAAAGCGGATGGGTGAGGACTGAATGCAGCAGAGAGGGTGAAACCCCTTCCTGACAGTATCCACCTACAAACCGGCGCTGGCAAATTGCATGTAAATCATGAGCCTCAATCAGACCCCAACTAGAAGCACTTACACAGCGCCACTAATCAAACGTTTTAGCGAGCTGTGCAAACACGCAGCATGCTCCGCTGCCTGGAGCACTGGAAAAGACAGAAACTGAAGCAGAGGAAGAGCCTTCTCCGCTCGCTGCTCCCTGTGCAGCCTTCCTGCCCGCAGCCCAGCACTGTGAACCCCACGGGAGAGATGCCATGGGAGGGAGTGACTTGTCCCCGCCCCAGCCGCTGCCAGGAAAAAGCAGCCAAGTCAAGCACCCCCTGCTAGACCAGAACAGGCTGTTTCCAGCCACGGCTCAGTGCCACGTTTCAGGTTGGAATTGTTTGCTTTGCCTCGCAGAAGAGCAGAGTTTCCAAAGTCTCCGGGGGGGAAACATGCTAAGCGATGATAATCCAGCCTGCCCTGTTGCATGCCTTTCCCTAAAGCGCTATAAACCCCAACCTTGTGGCACTTTCTGTTATCTCGGTCCATAATCACTTAATCAACTTGTATGATGCCAAGTATCACTGCCAACAGATGCCTCGGTGCCGCAGCATCCCCACACGTCCTCATTCTCCATTCGCTGCTCACTTGGTTTGAGACGTGTGTGTAGCGGGACATCTTCAATGACAGCAGCAGCATCTTTCACCAAACTCCTGCCAGCTTGTCGATTTGCTTTTTGCACCATTACCCCCTTCCTATCGCAAAAACACGTTGTCAAGTTTTGGCCTTCAGACGTATAGTTCCCCTTTGTGTTGGGAAAAGGAAAAAAACCCAAATACGTGGCTATCTGCTCTTGCAGCCCTGGCGGGACGTGCCAGCTGACAGCAGGTCAGCAGCAACTGCTCTGTGGACTGCAGATGCTGCAATCATTAGGAAGTAACGTTTCCTTTATGTCTTTATATGGGAATAACGGGCTGCGCCCTCAGTCCAGGTCTCGGCCAGAGATCCCTGCCGCTGCTTGGGCTGCTGCGCAACAGCCCCGCTGCCAGCAATGCCCTTCCCTTTGGCTACGGCTGCATTTTCCACCGTGAAACGGCTATTCGGGGAAGAGGGAAAACCTATAGTGAGGACACATGGCCAGAGATTCGGTTCTTCGACGTTCATGGGATCCTACAACAAGTTTCCCTAGTCGTGTTCCTTGCTGTTCAAGAGGGGAGGGTTTTAGGGGGAAAGGGGCAGGGGTACGGGCACCCGAGCGCTCTCCCCCTCCCCGACACCCGCTGCCCCGGGCAGCGCCGAAGGGACGGGGTGAAGGGGGGC